ATGTAAGAAGATGACCATCTTACGATGTCCATGGGCTCCCTGTGGGCAAGGAGTTGGACAGGGCATGGCCAGGTTGGATTGTCACCAGAGTGACTCAGTGGCTGGCAGCTGGATCCCATAGAGGTTCTGACTCACGTGTCTGGTGGTTGCTGTTGACTTTCTGTGGGCTGGGCCCTAGCTGGCTGTGGACCATAACACCTTCCTGTGGCCTCTCCACGTGAGCTGGCTTGGGCTTCCTCACAGCAGGGCGAGAGGATTCCAGGACGAGCACCTGACCAGGAGGAAGCTGCTTCACTGTTTTTGCCTTATCCTCAGACGCCTGGCAATATCACTTCCTTCAGGCACCAGCCCCCTCAAATTCAAGGACCACAAGCCCCTCCTCTTGACAGGAGGGTCACACTTGGAAAAGCATGTGAGGGGAGTGGTGGTGTGGCAGCTATTTTGTGACATTCACTTGCCTCAGAAGAGAGTAGATGAGACCCAGATAGGACCTGAAATCAAAGCACCTGTGGGGAGACCGGCTCCACCCCATGGAAGGTTTTCTACAGTCGCTTTCTGCATAATGGGCGTCAGTGAACGCAGACAGGTCAACCTCAGACTCAGGATCGGAACAAAGCTGCCTTTCTGGAGGACACGGCAGGCTAGTGTGGTGCCATGGGGAGAAGAGGAGCAGGAGCAGCTCAGCAGCATTGCAGCTCTGCCCACAGACAGTGTCATCGTGGAAACTAGACAAGGTCGGGGGGGGGGTCTGTATTATTTTGTATGATCTGAAATTACCTCCAGATTTTCCTACGAGAAGAATGTGGAGTCAAGCTTGTGGGATTTCGATCTCTGCTCTGCCACCGACCAGCTGAGGCCCACAATGTCATCTCTCTATGCCTCCACCAAGTCCTTCCAGCCACGAGGAAACACATGCATGGTCCCTGAAGATCAGAACGTGGACATTTTTGAGGTCCATTATTCTATGCATGATAGAAAGTTCCAGAACCCTCAGTTTCCTTGTTATTATGAGTCAGAAAAAAAGCAAAACGACATTCCCCAGTTCACCCTGCCTAGGAGTACTCAGCCCACCAGAAGCTCTGAGTTCCTTTTGGTTACCAAGATACATGAGCAGGGTTGCCTCACTCCTGGTCCAGCTTCCGTGAGAAAAGCCCCAGCTCTCTGTTGCACCAACTGGCTGCCACGCAAGGCCTGGACCCTCTCCCATCTCTGTCCCAGAGTGGAGGCAGCCGTCACTTATCAGCATGTGTTTCCTTTTCTAAGTGTCTCCTGATGGTGAAGACAGGCTTGCGCCTCCTCTCGGGCTGAATATGAAGAGGGGCCATTGAGGGCCCAGGGCATTCCCTGACATCTGCTTCCAGCTGGGCCAGACAGATGTCATGGCCCAGGACCCATCTTTCTTGCCGCCTGAACCTGGGCTCCTTATCCATTAGAACAAGAAGCTGCTTTTGTCACCCCTGGGATGAGACGTGGTTGAGTGTTGTGAGCTGAACTCTGTGCCTTGGTTGAAGTCCTAAAACAGGCCCGCAGGGCATGACTTTGGAGAGAAGTCATTGCAGACATTGTTGGGAGGCGCTTGTGCCAATCACAAGAGAAGTGAGGGAGACACAGGGAGAGGCCAATGCAGGCAGCGACAGGAGCGAAGGGAGCGCCACCGCAGCCAGATGAGGAAGAGGCGAAAGGAGCTCCTTCCAAAGCTTCAGAAAGAGCTGACCCTGCCCACACTTCCCAACTGTCCTCTGCACACTGTGAGAGGGCACTTCTGTCTTAGGCCAGCTACTGGGTGGTGGTTTGTACAGCAGCCCAAGAAAACTAATGCATTTGGCAAGTAAAATTAGGGAGATTTCTCTACCTGACCAAAAAGGATCCTTAGCTCTGAAGGGACACTGTGCATTTGCCTCAAAATGGACCTGGTGTGAACAGCACTGCTCAGCCCTCTTCCATTTCCATAAAGCCTTTGGGCCCTTCTGCTAAGTCAGATGCACAAAATCTCCTGCTGGCAGAGATCTACAGGCAGCTAGGAGCAGCTCACCAGGAGCAAGGTGCCTGCCGCAAGTCCCTGAAGGGCCACCCTTGGGTGTCAGCAGGTGAAGAGTCTATGAGCCAGGGAACAGCTGTGCCTGGAGAGAGCCTCCCAGTGTGGAACCTGTGACCTCCCAGGTAGGGCTGGCAGCCGAGTAGTGACAGTGACCTGACACGGGGCAGCAGTGTTCAAAATATGCAGTTATACCTTGAAGAAATGCAATGTTCGATCTTAGCCTGGCCTCCTGGCACACAGCAAGCCATTCCCGAGAGCCTACCGGCACACCCGCTCTGAAAACCAGCTTTCCTTGGGCCAGGTGCCAGGCCCAGGACAATGCAGAACCCGGGGACAGAGGTGTTTTCTGTGGGTGACTCACATGCTTCACAGCCCCGGCCATTAGTCATCAGAGGTGTAGAGTAGGTAAGCCATTGGCAGGCCCAGGCACCAGGAGATGTACGGGGTCTGAGATGTACGGGGTACAGTCCTGGGGTGGTGCTGGGTGGGAGACAGGACCTGTGAGGGTCTTGGAGAAACAGGGCTTGCTGGACGCTTGGTGCCCAGCCATCCACTCTGCTCTGACCTCTCCCAGAGTGGGCATGAAAGTGGGGAGTAGACAGAAGGGCAAGCTGCAGAGCTTGCTGCAGGGCGGATGCACCCTGCCACCTGGATAGCTGTGTTTGAGGGGTTCCTCCTGCCCAGAGCTCCGCTTCAGAACCTAGGGTGGCTGATCAAGGAGGAAAAGAAGTTTAAACATGTTTCTGATTTACCCTGAGCAGTCACCCTCATCACTGTCATTTACCAAAGGCTCCTAGTGCTGGACACCATGCTGGGCACTCACACAGAGTGACTTGCTGATCCGAACTGCCACCTTCCTGTCAGGCAGGGCTCTCCAGAACGACCACCAGGGTGGACATGCAGGCGATGCAGTGTGTGTGGAGACGTATAGACGTGCAGGTGGGCAGGTGGGGACGTGGACAGGCAGATGATCCTAGGTCAGTAGAGAGGGAAATAGAGATACAGGGAAGTCACAGATATGTCGACAGATAGGTAGCTATCAGGACCAATAGATGACGGGTAGGTAGAAAGAGAGGTGCATCGAGAAATGATGAATAGATAGGCAGGTAGATATGGATGGGCGATTGGTACTAGATATGTAGGTAAATTGTAGGTAGATGTGTAGACAGAAATGTGGATAGAAAGACAGCTATGCAGATACGTGGACAGATATGTGGATAGGCACATAGATTGATAGCTAACAGATCGTGTGTAGATGGGTAGGTAGATGATAGATGATGGATGGTTGACAGATGGACAGATGTTGGCCTGTTGGGGGACCTGGCGCCCCCTGGTGCATGCAGGCTTTCAGTGTGGCAGCCTTTCTCCTCGGACACCTGGCTTTTCCCTGGAAAGACTGTCCATCCCACCTCCTTCACTTGCCAACCTGATTGCATCTGGAATAGGCTGAATGGCAGCCGGAGGCCAGGGTATGCTCACCCTACAGCACCGCAGCTGGCCAAGTGGGCGCACAGCTCTCCTCGTGCTCTGGTCATGAGGTGAGAGGGTGGAAAGGCTGTCCAGCTTGCCCAGGTTGTGAAGCTGGGAGCAGATCACGCAGCAGAGTGCAGAGCGATGGGAACGAGTGCTAGCTGCTGTTCATCTAGCCTTGGGGCTGGCTCCAAATGTCAGAGGGACACTGGCTGCAATGGAGACAGGTGACCCCATCCTGAGCCTCTGCGGCCGAGCAGGCCCCAGGGTCCAGCACCACTGACATCCCTGGCCCTCTTGAGTAGTGCCTCCACGTGGGCAGCAGTACCAGCCCTGCACCTCTGGCGCTTCCCAGCCCTATCCCAGCATTCAGACCACCCAGAAAGCCCTTCTGGGCCCATCCACCACGCCTGACCCAGCCCAGGGTAACCGACAGGTGCAGAAAGGGAAATCTTCCACAAACAGCCTCGTAATCCTCATGAGAAGGAACAGCAAGAAAACACCTGTCCCTGCACTTCGACCCCACATCAGGGCCTCTGCATGAAAATGGAGGCAGGAGCCTTCAGAGCAGAGCCCTCCAGGTCCTCTGCAGCCTTCTCCAGGTGCAGACGGGAATGGGAGAATGTCAGGTCTCCCTCCAGGGAAACCTTAAAGCCTGCAAAGCATCAGCTACAGATGGAAAGGAAGGACTCTCTGCAGGCAGGGGGAGCGCTCCCACAAGACTCTAGACACACCTAGAGGGAGGAGCTGCAGGTCAGAGGCCTGGCTGAGGCCTGTCACAGATGAGCCTGTGGTGGTGGGGGGGGGAAGCTTCTGGCGCACTGTACTGTGTACCTTTGGGTAAGTGTCTCCACCTCTCTGTTCCACCTCACAGCACCTCTGGAAACCTGTCCATCCAGATGGAACTGTGGTGGTGTGGAACCCACCCTCTCCCACATCCTGAGCCCAACCCAAAACTGGACAAACAGCCGTCTGCATTCCGCACCCTAGCCCTGGACTTGGAATGAGGATTTTTTGGGTGTGCAACAAGCCAGAACCGACAGTCAACCTCCTGCTCCATGACCAGGAGCCCCAGCAGCCCCGCGTCACAGGGGAACAAAACCCAAACCAAAGCTAGACGGCTTTCCTAAGACGTCCCGTGATGAGGACAACAGAAAATGAAACTAAGAAGCCCCCCCCAAAAAAAGTCATTGGAAATTATCCAAATGTCCAGTAACAGGGACCCATTAGGGTCTATGACGCACCCGGGGACGTTGAGGGCCACCACAGGCACCTCCTTACAGAGCTTTCCAGGCAGCAGAGTCCCACGACTCCCGAGGTGAAGAGCTAGCAGGCGGTGGCAAGCGCACCTGCTGTACCCACTTCAGTCTGCCTGCCCGTGTCTGGCGTCTCCTGCTTCCCTCTGATGAGATGAGCACACATGTCCCCTGTGGTCAGAGGAAGGCGAGTGCCCGGAGCCTCAGAGCCTCGTCTGTGCCTGCTGACCCAGGAGACCCGGAGCAGGACCCCTGAGAAGCGCTCACGTCATCAGACGCCCATGCAGAGGTCCACAGTGCAGGGGCCAGAGGTGACAGACCTGTAACAGCCTCCCTGGGCACCCTTGGTCCAGCTCCTGCTGGCATCCTCAGACCCTCAGTGTGACCAGGTGACCTGGTGACCGTGGCTGGTGCCCTGAAGCCTCTCACCAGTGAAGCCACTTCCACCTGCTGACGACCAGGCAGCCCCAGGCGTCAGAGGTGGGGAAGCCGTCCACTCCTTCCTGGGCACACATGGGCCCCCAAGGACCCTGAGAGCCCAGCTCATGGTCCCCAAGGAGACAGAGCCATTCAGGTCAGGGCATCTGTGAGGCCCAATGAGTGCTCACATGCTCAGCCACTGCTCACACCACCCTTGCTCCTGCTGCCCGAAGCTGCCACAGAAGGCCAGACCCTGCCTGACTCTCCAACAACTCCTCCTGCCCCTGGGAGCCCAGCAAGTGACAGGCAGCCCTGGAGATGTCACACAGGCTGCTCCCACCCTGACCTGAGCGGAAGTTTAGCAGCTCAGCCTCTCCGTCCTCAGTCTTCTGGGCCGTCAGATGGGCAGTGGTTCTGGGGTCCACCCCTTGGGGTCATAGGGCTGGGGGAGGTGGTGCTCAAGAGGAGAGCAGCCCAGCCCGGGGCCCTCGGAGCCAAGCTATTTGCGAACCAACTGACCGGGGCTGTGCTCACTGTGCCCATGCCCCACGGGCCATTGGTTCTGTGACTACCCAGCACAGGCCTGGCTCACAGAGATGCCAGCACCTCCAGAAGGACCAGGAAAAAAAGGCACTTGTCTGTGCCTTGGAACCACTGCCCTGCCCAGCCACCTGCGGCAGGTCCTGCTTCTGCCCTCTGGCCTTGGTCTCAGCCTGCGGTCCTTGGAGTTCTCTGGATGGAGGCAGGGAAGCTGGCCAGCCTTCCTCTGTGGTGAGCGGGCTCTCCAGTCCCTTCTCTACTCCACCTGTTTGGGGCCACACTGGTCTCAGGCACAGGGACAGGGTTAGCTTCAGGACACCCCAGCCCCACAAGCTGTCCAGAAGGCTCTGGCAAAAGCAGGCCAGCAGCAGGCCAGCAGTAGAGGAAGAGGCCACCCTGGCGTCCCACTCTGCCCTCAAAAGCAGCAGTGCCCAGGGGACCTGCCAGGGCAGCCTGGGCTCCCGCTGGGGCTTCCTCCCCTCATAAGCAGACTCACCTGGACAGGCCCATCCCTCCCTGGAGGGAGCTGAGTGGCTCTGGGTCCACAGGACCCCATCTGGCCTCTGGCAATGCTGGGAGGACCCCTGCAGTGGGAGCCTCAAGGAGAGGGGCCCAGGGCAGAGCCCTGGACACTCCCAGATGGGCAGCACAGGGCCAGTGAGCATGAGGGCCCCGCATACAGAGTCCCTGGGCCTGGTGGGGGAGCTGCCAGGCCTCCTTCTTCCACTCCTCAGCTTCCTGGGGTGACACTCAGGCATGGCACATTCCCTGGGCCCATCAGAGCCAGGCAGGCCAGCTCCTCACAGGCAGGGCTGCTTCCAATACCTCGTGGCACACACCCTCAGCCAGGGGGCCGGCTGCTTTCCTCTGGGGCAGGAGGCAGGGCAGAGGGGGAGAACCCGGCTCCAGCTGCGGGAGGCGTCTTCCCAGGCTTGACATGAGCCATTAAGCCTCCGACTCCTGCAGTGTACATATAATTATGCTGGCTTCACGCACAAGGAGACCAAGGCAGCGGCCTTCTCAAGGTGGTGATGGGGTCCCCGCCCCAGTGACCTTGCCCTGGCACAAGACCACCTGCAGGGTGGCCCCGAATGACCTGAGAAGTTCCTACAGCCAGACCCTGGATCTGACATGGCCCTCTCTATGCGCAGAGGCCACGCAGGAGGAAACAGGGAGGACAGCAGCAAGACCAGGCAGAGCTGGGGGCAGAAGTCCAGCACAGGGCACCCCACTGGCCTGCAGCCAGGCCCTGGGCCAGATGTTGAGGTTTTTTAAGAACCCCATAGCTCTGGTTTTTATGTGGAACATGGGGCTGGTTTAAAGTTCCTGTTCCTTTAAAACACTGCACAAAGCAAAGAAAATGTGGGAGGAGAAACAAACCTGAGCCCCCGGTTTCTTAATTGGCACCAACCAGGAAAAATCCAAAGTGAGACTCAGGTGTGATTTGAAGTATTCTTGCTTTTTTGGAACTGGAGGTTGAACCCAGGGGCCCACAACTACTGAACTGCATCCCCAGCCCTTTTTGGTATTTTATTTAGAGACAGGGGCTCACTGAGATGCTTAGGGCCTAAGTTGCTGAGGCTGGCTTTGAACTCGAAATCCTCCTGACCCAGACTCCTG